ACCGGGTCTGCCCTGTCCATCGTGTCTTGGAGCACCATCAAAAGACTGGTACCCAGAGTGTCCAAAAGGCAACTCGACTCTCACTGCGTACACCTGAGAGACTACCAGGGAAACGACATTCCCGTGGTAGGCGTTGGCCGGTTCTGGATCGCCTTCAAGGATTTTTCGGGCCTGCTCCGACTGGTGGTGGTCGAAGGGCAGCGGCCAAGCCTCCTAGGGCTAGACTGGTTTGATGCCCTCGGTCTGGCAGTCACTGGCATCAACTGCATCTCTAACGCAGAGACTGAGGGTATGGTCAAAGACTTTGCCGAGGTTTTTGATGGCACTTTGGGTCAATATACAGGTACGCCCATCTCCTTTAGCCTTGATCCATCAAGCTAAAGCCACACTGGGTTCCCTTTGCTCTCAAGGCTATGGTGGACGAACAACTGGACAAGCTGATTGCCCAAGGAGTTTTGGAGCCGGTTGACCACGCCAAGCCAGACGGGTCGGTGAGAATCTGCGCTGACTACAAGTGCACGATCAACAAGGCACTTCAGCAGCACGCTTATCTGGTTCCTGTTGTCCAACACCTGCTGCATTCCCTGGGTGAGGGTAAGGTCTTCGCTAAGCTGGACCTTGCCCAAGCGTATCAACAACTGCCCGTCGATGATGCCACTGCTGAAGCCCAGACGACTGTCACCCACCGGGGGCATTCCGTTGCCGCCGTTTGCAGTTCCGGGTGAGTGTGGCTCCTGGCATCTTCCAAAGCCTTATGGAGCATCTCCTGCAAGGGCTTGCGGGCGTGGTACCATATTTTGATGACGTCTTGGTGTCTGCAAACTCACACCAGCAGCTGTTCGAGCGCCTCCGCACCGTGCTGACCAGGTTCCAGGAGGCTGGGCTCAAGGTAAAGCGGGGGGAAGTGCCAGATCACTGTTCCACAGGTGGAGTTCCTGGGCTATCTTATCGACATCTCCGGCCTTTACCCGACCACATCCAAGATCCGCGCTATCCAGCAGGCCCCCATCCCAAAGAACAAGACGGCGTTGCAGGCGTTCCTGGGACTGCTGAACTTTTATAACATGTTCCTACTCCACAAAGCCACGGTGGCTGAGCCTCTTCACTGACTCCTCAGCACAAAGACACCTTGGTCCTGGGGTCATCGGGAGACAGCAGCCTTCAAAGCGGCCAAGGCTCTCCTTTCATCGGACAGTGTGCTGGTACAGTACAGTGAAGCCAGGCCGCTGGTCCTTGCCTGCGATGCCTCACCTTTTGGCATCGGCGCTGTCCTTAGTCACCATTTTCCAGACAGAAGAGAAGCACCGCTCGCCTACTCAGGACCGCTATCTCTGACTGAACGGAATTACAGCCAGCTTGACAAGGAGGCACTGGCACTTGTGGCTGGAGTGAAGAGGTTCCATGAATACGGCAGGATTTTTGACCTCATCTCCGACCACAAGCTGCTCCTGGGCGTCCTCGCCGGTGATTGACCAACTCCACCGGTCCTCTCGCTGCACATGCTGTGATGGACTGTTTTCCTGGCTGCCTACCACTACCAGCTCGTCCATCGCCCGGGGAAATCGATAAGCCATGGTGACACTCTCAGCCATTGCTCTCTTCCAGCGTTTGTGGAAGACCTGGCTCCTGCTTCATTGCTCCTCCTGATTGAGGATCTTCCGGCAGAGCCTGTATCGGCAGCCACTGTGGCATCCGCATCTGCCCAGGATCGCAGCATCAGCCGTGTGCTCAACTGGGTGTGGAGGGGGTGGCCACAAGGGCCTTTTGCATCGGAGTTCCAGCTGTTTGCAACCAGACAACATGAACTCTCGGCTCATCGCGGCTGTCTGCTGTGGGGAGACCACGTTGTGATTCCCCAAAGACTCCGTCAAGTGTCCTTGAGGCTCTGCACGTTGGCCACCTGGGAATCATCAAAATTAAGGCGTTGGCTCGGTGTTACATCTGGTGGCCTAACATGGACGATGCCATCACTGCCTCGGTTTCCGCCTGTCAAGCGTGCCAAGAATCGAGGCCTGCACCACCAGCAGCTAAGGGACACACCTGGGAGATGCCCAAGACACCCTGGTCGAGGGTGCACATTGATCTGGCAGGCCCCTTTCGCGGCTGGACCTTTATGGTAGTGGTGGACGCCTATTCCAAATGGCTGGACGTGGCCCTGATGCCCTCCACCACTACCAAGGCCATCATCCGGGTGCTGTAAGGCCTCTTTGCAATGCATGGGTGTCCTGATGTCCTTGTCACAGTTCACGTCAGGCACTTTTGAGCGGTACCTTTTGGGACTGGGCCTCCGCCATGCCCTAACAGCACCATTTCACCCATCCAGCAACGGGCAAGCAGAGAGAATGGTGCGCTCGGCAAAAGAGGCACTGGCGCACCTGGACCGGGGAGACTGGCACGAGCGGGTCGCCGAATACTTGTTCGTACAACACATCACCCCTCATGCGGCCACAGGGTGGAGTCCTGCCGAACTGCTTATGGGCCGCCGCCTCAGGTCCCTGCTTGACCAGCTGCGCCCAGACTTTGCTGTGGCCGAACCCCCAGGCTGTGCCAATGCGCCATGGTCATTTGTTCCAGGAAACCAGGTCTTTGCCTGGAACTTTGTGGGGGACATTCCTTGGGTGCCAGCCACAGTAGTGGGAGTCACTGGACCTCGCTCGTACCAGGTGGCACTCGAAGACGGACCCTTGTGGCGCTGGCACACAGACCAGCTTAGGCGCAGGGTTGGGGACTTGGACACTACCGTGGTGCCCTCAACTGCACTCGTGGCTCCAGAACAGACACTTACAGATGGTGATGCTCCACGTACACCTCTCTCGCAAACTGCGGGCGTGGAGCCGAACCAAGCCACTTCAGAGGGTCTGCTGGAGTTCCCACAGACTCAGACCACTGCCTGACCTGACATTCCATCAACTCCACTTGTGGAGGTTCCACCCAAAGCAGCGGATCCAGGGGACTTGGTTTCAACGTCACCACAGCCTCAGCAAGAATTGGGCGGTCCCCCAGACTTGGCTACCAGTCCCCGGCGGTCTGGCAGAGTTTCCAAGCACCCAACTTATTTAAAGGACTATGTTGTTGGACATGTATCACTGTTGGTCTAAGGATGTGAAATGTAACCGATATGCTTTTGTGCCTAATTGAACCATTACGTGTAGTGCTGTATATAAGGAAACCATTACGATTGTAACTAATGCCTTATCTCAGTGGGGAGGGGTGTTATGTACTGAAGTTCTCACCCTGGGCCAGCAGGGGGATAGTGTAGATAGTTATGCAAATGAAGGATCGAAAGTGACGTTCAGTGACTGGATAGTTTGTATGCAAATGAAGGATCGAAAGTGACGTTCAGTGACTGGATAGTTTGTATGCAAATGAAGGATCGAAAGTGACGCTCAGTGATTGGATAGTTTTAGAAAGTTGGTACAGTTACGTTGTTCTGGAGCTCTATATAAGCAGGCTGACTGAGCTCTTCAGTTCAGTTCTGTTCTGGCCTCTGAATAAACAAGAGCTGTTTGAAGAATTGCTGTGTCGTCTGGTATGTTTGCCCACAACTTAACACTTTTGATTTTTTCACAGGTCCACTAAATATGTATATGTCCCCTCTGTTTTACCACACCTCCAGCACAGATTTGTTTTTGTCTTATACATTTTAGCTATTTTGGTAGGTGTTAAGTACCATCTATAAAGCATCTTGATTAGGTTTCCCCTCAATACTTCACAGGCTGTAAATTTCCAGTTCTTTCTCCATAGTTCTTCCCATGCTGTTAAGTTAATGGTTTTCCCAATATCTAAAGCGCACTTGATCATTACCTCCTTGACCTGTTCGTCTTTGACCTCCAACTTCAATAATGTATCATACATTTTTGATATTACCTTGGTTTTGTTTTATAACACTTTTTCTAATAATGAAGGTTTGTTTGAAAAACAATTTTTCTTATCTGTCCTGAACACTTCATGGAATTGATGGTATTGGATCCAACCCGTAAGGTATTGTTTAATTTCCTCATAATCTTTAATTACCAATTTATTGTCTTTTTCTTAATCAGATTTTTATATGTGGCCCATTCTTATCTTTCTTTTTAATTGTAATTGCTTCTACCTTTAATCCTTATTCAATAACTGGTGTTATGTTACACAATATGTTATTCTGAAATATGAATCCTAATACAGGTGTGACTCCATACATTATGTCACTAAGCACTCTGTCTTTTTCACAATGCTTGGTTTCTTCATGCAGATGAAGAAACCATAAAATCTGTAGGTCATGCGTCAGCTCAGACCTCATGGCCTCTGTGGCAACCATGAGACCATCTCAGTAAATTAAAGGCCCAATATGAGATAGAACATACCCTAGTTCAGGTCTCTCCAAGGGAGTGGGAAGATAGAAATTCATTGGTAAGGAGGTTTGTGCTGAGCCCATTGTCTGAGATGGATAATTTGAAAGTTGTAGTGGTGATGCAGTGCCCCTCTATAAGGCTGGGGGATCCATTAAGGTGGTCTGTTCCCAGAGACTTATGGTATCTGGTGGATTCCTGAATACTCTCAGGAATTTACCGGTCCCCAGCGGTCTGGCAGAGTTTCCAAGTGCCCAACTTATTGAAAGGACTATGTTGTTGGACATGTAACACTGTTGGTCTAAGTATGTGGAAGTATATGAAATGTAACTGATATGCTTTTGTGCCTAATTGAACCATTACGTGTAGTGCTGTATATAAGGAAACCATTACGATTGTAACTAACGCCTTATCTCGGTGGGGAGGGGTGTTATGTACTGAAGTTCTCACCCTGGGCTAGCAGGGGGATACTGTAGATAGTTATGCAAATGAAGGATCGAAAGTGACGTTCAGTGATTGGATAGTTTTAGAAAGTTGTTACAGTAACGTTCTGGAGCTCTATATAAGCAGGCTGACTGAATCCTTCAGTTCAGTTCTGTTCTGGCCTCTCAAGCAACAGCTGTTTGAAGAATCGCTGTGTCGTCTGATATGTTCACCCACAACTTAACAGATATGATTGAAGGTATTATGGCGTGGATGTAGATGTAAGTGTTTTTCGGCAAGCTGTCTGCTCGGTTCGGCATTGGGGCAATCCGTTGTCTTCGCCTGCCCCTCCAAACACTGGTGTATCCCATTAAGGGATCTGGGGGGAGTGGTTATATCTGCGTGCCCAGGCGGGGCCAGGACTGAAGGCATTCCCCCAGACGGCGGTCCCTGTGGGGGTCACCCTATTTGATGTAACTCTTAGGAACCCCCATCTGGATTGAACTATGCGTCACTTCTGGCGGGTGGGCTGGAAATATTTTGATTGCCCCATGCCCAAGCCAAACCTCTTTCATCTGTAAAGTGGTACCTCGGGTTACCTAATTAGTTTCGTTATTGTGCCATAGGAATGCTATTGTAGGTGTGACTCCCTATTTCATGTTTGATTACAGATGGCCACAACCTCCAAGCAGCCAGCTCCCTAAGCCTTCCCTCATTTTCACAATGCTTCATCTCTTCATACAAATGGGACCACCCATCACAGTCTCTTCAAGCTACTACAGAAACAGACGTGCCTCATTACGCCTGGAAATTAGCTTACGAAAAAGTGCACCTGACAGGACTTCTGGTCCTTCTACAGAATGGTGACTGAAGCCAAGGCAATTTAGACTTACCAGAAATGTAAGTAAATAAAAAAAGTCCATAGATTCATAGAAATGTAGAGTTGGAAGGGGCTCCAAGAATAATCTAGTCAATGCCCTGCAATGCAGGAATCTCAACCAACCAGTCTCTTCTTACCTTAGCAAATGTGCGATTAGTTGTGTTAATTCTCAGTTCCAGTAAGGTTAAATTTGGTTTTTCATAGCTGCGCAAAGAGAGGAGCTTGAGCTCTTATGGTTTTTGAATTTTATAACACTGAGAAGCAGGAATTTACATAATAATGCGGAGTCTTCTTCAGTAAAAGAATAAAAGCTTTACTGAGTTAAAATAAACTTATTTGCAAATAACAGCATAATGAACAGAAGATTAAACTAGCTTCAGAGCATACACAGAGTTTCCATTGAGCACAGGCTTGGCAGAGCACAGGATCCACCACACACACTGAGACTCTCTCTCTCTCTCTCTCTCTCTCTCACACACACACACACACACACACACACACACAGACACAGACACTGAGTCTGCCTGCAAGCAGATACAATATTTATACAGAGAATGAGTCATCCTAAAGATAAGTCACAGTGATTCAGCATGCTAAATGATTCTGCAGCTTTTCAGCATTTCACAACATTTCTAGACTCCTCATCTTCTTCCTTTACAGCTTCTGCTCTCAAATACCTTTGTCACATGACACAGCCTTCCCCCTTTCCCAATTTTATCGTACTATTTAGTTGTAAGATGTAGTGAAAATAGAGTAGAATCAGAAATATGCAATTCAGCTACAATATGCAATTCCGGAGCCCCGTTCGCATTCTGAGCAGAACACAACCTGCGTCTCCGCAGGCTGTGATCCGCTGCTTCTGCGCGTGCGTGTGACCTCATTTTGAGCATCTGCGCATGCGCGAGCGGCGAAACCCGGAAGTAACCCGTTCCTTTATTTCCAGGTCACCGCGGAATGCAACCTGAGAACGCTCAACCTGAAGCGACTTTAACCCAAGGTATGACTGTATGTGACGCTAACAGGTTTTCAGGTGATTTAGTAATTTGTAGATAAATACACGGTGAATGAGTATTATGGCATGGTCCCCCATTACCCATGTGGAAAGAAGTTCTAGAGGCAGTGATATTAGGTAGGGTTTGGTTTCCAGAGGTAGAATCCAACAGCATTGGCTCTCACCTGGCAATCCCACATCACATCCCCTGAAAGAGGCACTTTGTAGTGTATCCCAAAATGCTTCCAAACTTCAGCTCCCCATTCTCCCCACCCTCCTTGTTGAGTGTTGTGTTCGCGCTGCAGAAGTTCAGTCAAACGGTTAGGTTCAATGTAGGAAACAACTGTGTAGCAGAGAGAGCTCTTACTTCGGGGGCAAAAACACACACACTATATATACACACATTCTTTGCAGTTGTTACAAGAAGTCTTCACTCTCTGAAGACAAGAGAGCGTTTTGGCTTATAAAGTACAGTGGTACCTCAGGTTAAGAACTTAATTTGTTCTGGAGGTCCGTTCTTAACCTGAAACTGTTCTTAACTTTAGCTAATGGGGCCTCCTGCTGTCGCCGTGCCGCCGTGGTGCTATTTCTGTTCTCATCCTGAAGCAAAGTTCTTAACCCGAGGTACTATTTCTGGGTTAGTGGAGTCTGTAACCTGAAGCGTCTGTAACCTGAAGTGTCTGTAACCCGAAGTACACTTTTACTTGCTGAGGCAAACTCCACAGAGCAAGTGCAAATTCCAGTGGCTAACAAAGTCCTGCAAGTGCCAGAGCTCTCAGTCTAGAAGACCTTAACAATTCAGCTGTGAAATGAAACCAGCCTGCTTTACAAACAAATAAATGATGATCATACATTACTAATGTTGTACATCCCCACAATGAATGTTGGAAAAACAATATGTCTACTTGGCTAGTTACTGTGGGAAAAACTAAGAAAATATTAAATAGCATGTGATTTCATGTAACTATGAATGCTCTGTTTTCTATTTTCCAGGTAAACAGTGGGGGGGAAGCATCAAAACTGAGGAAAAACTCACTTGATTCATTTGTTTCATTGGCATACGCTTCGTGCTTCAGATCAGGAAACCATGAGCTGGATTAGTTTTACTTATTTGGAAGAATACCTGAGCTTTGTGGTTCACCCTCTGTGGATATTCCTGCTTCCGATTTTGATTTATTCATATTGGTTATCTTTTTATTTTGTTGGCTGTGTTATCTCATTTTACTTCAATGCTTACAAGAAGATGAATAACCACCAAGGAAATGATTTTTATAGCAAATTTTGGGACAAGCCAAGGCATGCTTTGGGTTGATTTGTAGAGCTAGTTGGAAAGATATGGCATGGTGAGTACATGTTCCTTTCATACCAATAATTCCAATTTATGAGCCAATATAATTTCATAGGACTGAGCATCAGAATTTCAGGTTTGAAGCACTGGAACAATAGTTGCCACAGGGCATTAGGGCTGGACCTCTAAACCCACCTCAGGGTCACAACAGCTTCAATTTCTGGTTGGCTCCATAAGAATCAAAACACAGGCATGGGTATTTATATACGTAATAAACAATGATAAAAGAAAAAAACTTTTTATGAGGTATGAAATCAAGACATATTACAGAAGGGTCGGTTGGTGGCTGCATAAACACCATACAGTGGTACCTCGCAAGACGAATGCCTCGCAAGACAAAAAACTTGCTAGACGAAAGGGTTTTTTGTTTTTTGAGCTGCTTCGCAAGACGATTTTCCCTATGGGCTTGCTTCGCAAGACGGAAACGTCTTGTAAGTTTGTTTCCTTTTTCTTAACACCGTTAATACAGTTGCGACTTGACTTTGAGGAACAACTCCTAGAACGCGGTGTGGTAGCCTTTTTTGAGGTTTTTTAAGACTTTGGTGATTTTTGAAGCTTTTCCAAAACTTTCCTGACACCGTGCTTTGCAAGACAAAGACAATTAATTTCATCTTGCGAGGCACCACTGTACATTTAATCACATTTAAAGCATGCCTCTTCTCCAAAAGAAACCTGGAGAATGTTGTTTACACCTCACAGAGACACAATTAGCAAAGCCCTTTGAAAATAGTTACATGGATTGTGGAAAGGGAGAGGGATTGGCTTTATGTGTGCACTGGGTACACAGCCAATGTGATTAATATACAGTGGTGCCTCGCAAGACGGAATTAATTCGTTCCGCGAGTTTTTTCGTCTTGCGGTTTTTTTCGTCTTGTGAAGCACGGTGTCGGAAAAGTTTTGGAAAAGCTTCAAAAATCACCAAAGTCTTCAAAAACCTACAAAAAGGCTACCACACCGCGGGCTCGGAGTTGCTCCTCGACGTCAAGTCGCAACGGTAGGGACGGTTTTAAGAAAAAGGAAACAAACTTGCAAGACGTTTCCGTCTTGCGAAGCAAGCCCATAGGGAAAATCGTCTTGCGAAGCAACTTAAAAAACCAAAAACCCTTTCGTTTTGCGAGTTTTCTGTCTTGCGAGGCATTCGTCTTGCGTGGGACTTTGTGGGAGTGATTTTCCTGAGCATGATAAACCACAAGGTAGCTCTGAAACATAAACATTGGAATTTGCCAGCACAGGATGTGGTGATGGCTACTCTTTAGAGGGACACTGCGAGAAACAGGATGGTGGACTATAGAGGCCTTTGGCCTGATCAGCAGGACTCTTCCTATATTCTGAATGCTTCCTAGAGGACTTTTATTTCTTTAGGAGTTGATGTACAAATCCAGAATACACTACTAAAACCAAGTCTGGGCCATAAGCATGAGACCCTGTAACTACTTATGACATGATTGGGGTGCATCTGTCATGGAAACAGCTTGGTAAGTGATTCAGAAAATGGTCTGAAGATGCCTGAAGTTGGAACTCTTAGGGAGAGGGGATAAATGTACTCCAGGCCTTGGATAGTTTTTTCCCAAAGCAATCCTGTGCAGAAGGGTAATACTGCCCTTAAAATAAAATTTAAAAATCTCCAAAACATTTATCATAATAATGCTTAAAGCTAAAAGTAGATTAAAACAGAAAATAGCTCAATCAAAGACTGTGCCTGGAAGAAAGCATGGAAGGAACATTCCATGAGAGGAGAAATTCCCCTTCCTGCCATTAATTCTGGGAGGACCACAGAGAAAGTCCTGTTACATGTGGATGACAGCCAGTATCTAGAAAGCTGAAGGATATAGCAGAGATTTTTACCTAAATTTCAGTTTTTTGAACCACATTGATTTTCCCCAGTAAAATTTTTTGATATTTTATTTACCTTTCAACAAAGTAGTATTATTTGTTTCATTTTATTTTCAGGTTATGAAATTTATGGCATGGAACATCTCCCTAAAGGACCAGGAATTGTTATTTATTATCACTCAAGTGTTCTTGTCGGCTATACCTTATTTGTGACAAAAGCTTTTACAGAGAAAGGGAAACTGTGCCATTCAGTAATTGATCGTGCCCTGTATGGGATCCCCGGTAATTTATTTATATTTAAATTATGTATTTTTACATTAAACATGTGTTAAATATGACATAAAACAATGCTCTGATATATAAAACAGTGTATCAGGCAAGCAGGAAAAAACCACAGATAAATAAAATAGCAGCAGCAGGTGAAAAAGTAACTTAGTGGAGGGGAAGGTTATTTCTCACCACGCCCCTGAAATTAAACAGATTGAACAAAGGATGAATAATTATTTCCAATTTCTTTCTTCAGGGCATTTTTTAACAGAAAACACACCAGAAGGAAGACTCAGGGCACAGTATTATGAAGAAAATGTCATATTTATTAAGTATAACAGTCTAAAGGATCTTTAAATCAAATTAAACTAGCCAAATCAAAATACAGTTAGGCAGGAGAAAACAGATCACTCCCCTTTCCTGGCCATGTTTACAGGCAACATTGCCTCAGAGTAAAGGACTGGAAGGAATATGTCCTCCTTGTTCCTAGAATCGTGGGCGCGTGACTTGACGAGCCGAAACCGATGTGAATGTCAAGCCAAATGACCCAATGCAAGGCCGAGCATGGCTCTGTCAATATTATATTGGCCTCTAAACTTCATACTCCAAAGGTCTACATCAGGCATAGGCAAGCTCGGCCCTCCAGATGTTTTAGGACTACAACTCCCATCATCCCTAGCTAACAGGACCAGTGGTCAGGGATGATGGGAACTGTAGTCTCAAAACTTCTGGAGGGCCGAGTTTGCCTATGCTTGGTCTACATCATCCAAATGAATTTACAATGGGGGTTGAATAATTTCAATTGCAAGTATATAGCAGCACATTCCCAGGACAAAATCATTCCTTGGGGCTGGTATCACCACCCGCCACAATTCTACATTATTATTCCATATTATCTTCGTCAGTACTCTAAGGAGTTGCTTTGATGTTATGAGGATATGCAATCTATCATTTTGTGAGGTTTTTGAATAAATCTTATCAGGTTATACAGTGGTACCTTGGGTTACATACGCTTCAGGTTACAGACTCCGCTAACCCGGAAATAGTACCTCGGGTTAAGAACTTTGCTTCAGGATTAGAACAGAAATCTTTATTAATATCCCACATATACATATATACATAGATAACAATCATACAAAGCAAAAGCAATACAAATAAAGAAAAGGGTAAAAAAAAGGAAAAAAGAAAGAAACGAAAAATACAATATATTACAATTAAATAACAAATTAAAATGTAAAACTACCAATCATTCTCATTATATTGCTTATATTGTCTATATTTTCTTGCCCAGGTTTATATTATGTTATTATGTTATTAGAAGCCTAGCTCTTTGTTGGTGGTATATTGCTTCAATTCCATTTCTAAATTTTACTCCTAGTCCCTTTATTTCTGTCTGTTTTTTCATAAAATACCAGGAAACATTGTCAAAGGCCTTCTCCGCATCAAGTAATAACAAGGCTGCCTTTTTATCACTTTTAGTTTCTAGATATTCCAAAATATCGACAATGTTTCTGGTATTTCCCGAAATTTGTCTTCCTGCGAGAAACCCTGTCTGGTTTGGATGAATGATTTCTCTGATGGCTTTTTTAAGCCTGCTTGCCAATATATTGGCAAAGAGTTTGTAATCACTGTTTAATAGTGATATTGGCCTAAACTGTGATTGCAGGTGAACATTAACTGACCTCAAAACGTCTACAAGAATGCCATTTTTTACTCCAGTAATCTCAAGGCTACCATGAAGAAATTTCATGCTTTCTTGTACAATAGTCTACATTCTTCCTCAGGGATGAAAAAATGGGGGGAATCTGGATAATGTGTCATTAGATTTCTCCACTACGTCTACAGGTTCTCATATAATAATTGCTGCTGCCTTTAATGCCAGAATAGAACAAGGTGTAAAAAAACCTGGGTCCCCAACTTGATGATCCCCTCAATCAATCACTAATAAAGATGGATGTCGTACTGGGAAGAACAATGCAAAGAATGGAATCCTGTTTGGGAGCCTGTTCACTAGTAAACCACCTGTGAAAAAGTTCGCTGTATTCATACACCACTTGGGATGGGGTGGGAGCTACAGCTAAGGAAAAGAGCAGAAGCCCACATACATGCCCACGGCTCTCATAGCAACGCCAACCCATTAAAAAATGGTCAATCAAGCTCTCCCACGCACAGTTTTTATGCCCCCAAGTGACACTGCAAGCAGATACATGAGGCATCCTTGCTGCACAGTGTACATGGTCCTCCACTGCCCCCCCCATCATCAAACAGCAGCCACCCCAGGAAACATACGTCAATTTTAAAAATAAAGCAAAAGAAGTGAGGTCAGAGCCCAAACAGGCCCAGTAGCACAGAGAGCTCTGTTGGGGGACATTCCACTGGGTAAATTAATGGAGCATCTAACCCCCTGTCTGGGTGAAAAGATGGGCTTCTGCTGGTGGAGGCAGGTTTCCACCAGCTGCTTCCTCTCTGTTCTCTCTCTCTCTCTCTCTCTCTCTCTCTCTCTCTCTCTCTCTATCTGTGTGAATGTCCACTGTATCCAAAACCCATGCAGCCTATAGGGATTGAAGACTTGTATTATCCAGCAAGGCACTATGGGCTGTATTTTTATCATGATGCAAACTAGAATATCAATCTGTTGTACTACGGACTTGAGGAACACTTGCCCAAAATGTGCTCACCTCAGCACGCAGTCTCACTCTGTGTGCTTTCCAAAAAAACGGCTATTGCCAGAACACGTGAAGAAAAGAGAAACTAGCATAAAGTCCCCCTTCCATGAAATCCTAGTTGATCCGTAATAGAGCAATATCTTTGGAATAATGACACTTGTATGACACTTGTATAGTATCCACACTATTTCCTCATTAAGAGTTGTGTAAAATGCATTTTTCTGTTTGGGGCTTACTTTTTTAGGGCTCAAGATGTTTTATGATGTTATCTTATTGAGAGATTTCACAAATGCTGAATGTTTGGAAATTCTGAAGAAAGGCCATTTACTGGGCATTGCCCCTGGTGGATCTAGAGAAGCAAACTTTAGTACTGACTACAGCTTAATGTGGGGTAACCGCACAGGTTTCGCTCGGCTAGCTTTGGAGGCGAAAGTGGTGAGTGATCTTTGGGCAATTTGCATTGCCCTCACAATTATCCTGGATATGACGTACTGTGTTGACAGCCTTGATCTAGCATCCTCCATAGCTAAGGATGGCAAATATCCTGTTTTGGAGTCAAATGATATCTGGAGAGCTATGGATTTCCCACCCCTGCTTTTTAAAAAAGCCACTGAAATCAATAACGTTTAATAAGAAAAATGGCTGTCAGGAAATTGGAGGCAGAGAAGGGGGAGAGAATGGGGACTTACAGAGATAGGCCTCCATTACTTAGCAGCTGTACTTCCTCGGACGAGGAGGGTGACGAAGGGCTGTCAGGAAGCAATGAATCAGAGAGGGGGGAGCGGCTTCCGGGGCCCAGCCACTCTCATAACAGAGGAAGGAAAGGGGGTGGGTTCAGGAAGTGGTTATGCTGGAAGAAAGCGAAAGCTTCTCCAGTCTCTGCAACTGACTCTCCATGATGCAGGCTGACTCTCAGAGCTCCGTGTAAATAGCAGAAAGAAACCAATAAATCTTGTAAATATGGCTGGTTTCCCGGACTCTTATCTCTTCTAGCACTCACCAGTCATCCCTGACAATGGCCTTTACCCCCTTTTTCTCTCTTCAATTCCTGAAAATCTGGGCAACAACTTGTGAAGTTTCTTCATCTGAGATATTTGAATAGATATTTTGAAGCCTGTTGTATAATTTATGACTTGCTTCTCATAATAATCCCAGATGTGAAGCATTCTTCTTTGTCCTTAACAAAAATAAAGGTGGGGTGGTCAGGGCGAAGTAATTATCCAGTTCTCGCCTGTCTTTCATTTTTGTTTCATCTTTCATTCTTCTAGCCCATCATCCCAATATTTACACAAAACAGTTGTGAAGCATACAGGAGCTTGGGAAAGACAAGTGAGTTAAATATCTTATGTTTCTTGGTTGAGCAAGAGATCCAATTTCAGGCAATATACATTTTAATAATAGACTATTTTTTTAAAAAAACCCAATTATCTTTTTCCTACCTACCAGCAGAGTTTATTCCATGGACACTTATCTGTGCTGCCTGCCTCAGTATTGAGTAAATATGCCTTTGTTTAGTTTTCTATTAGATTTAAAACAAAGCTGTAATCTATAAGAGCGGTAGGAAGCCCAACATAGACAGGAACAGATCAGGAAACAAACCATATTTTGCAGTCTATTGTACAACTTATGATCCCAATTGCCAAGAGATGAGAAGAGCTGATTGAGTATGTTGCATATCTTTTCCCAAGCACTCATATTATTTAACTCTTCCTCCTTGGGATGGATTGATTGCAATTGCTTAACAGAATGCTAACTAAGGTCCAATTTGATATGCGGTCACTTTATTTTACAGGGCTGACAAAATGTGTTGGGTTGAAATCACGACAGACGAATGGTGGGTGTCAAAGGAGAGACGTCTGCCCGGGGCAAGCCCCGGGAACTCTCTTTTATTGAATATTACAAACATTGCCACAGGTGTGCTTGTGGCTGATTGGCTGATACAAACACAAAGCATCTTGTTGCTGATTGGTTAACATAGGTACAAGGCGGGAATAACATATTACATTAATCACTGATAGTTCAAAAGACTGGGAACGGAGCTGGAACTAGACAGGCATGAATCCTCCTAATTAAATTATAACTAAGATTAATATAACATGACTAAAACAATTACTAATGATTGATCATAAGTGAAAGGTCCGTATATGTGGTCAGCTATGCATTGAGAACAGAGCATGTTGTTTTTTGTACATGAACTCAGAATGAACTGAAGAATGAAAGAATGTCTGGGTGTGCTGAGCTCGGTGTGTTTGGAACAGTATGTGCAGGGCAGAAGCGAGACTTCCCAGAATCCAAGAGGAAAGGAGCAAGAGTTCTCATAGTGAGCATAGAAAGATTTCATAGTAAGATTTCCCACAATGCCACATTATGTGCAGTAAGAGAAACTGCAGAAAGAAAACTTCCCTTCACATATGAGAAAACTCGATGTGTACTCCTTCCCTCTTATGGAGCGTTCCCAGTGAAATTGAGGACATATGTTGGAGAACCCATCCCATATGATCCAAATATAACTGCCACAGAGCTGGCTGAAAAAGTAAGTGAACCCTACACTTGGAAGTAAAGAAGCAGAATATTTTTTCCCTCTTTGTTTCTCTCTCTTTCAGTTCTAAATTGTATTCTGCATACAGTGGTACCTCAGGTTACAGATGCTTCAGGTTACGCATTTTCGGGTTGTGTACCACACCGAACCCGGAAGTACCGGACTGGGTTACTTCTGGGTTTCGGCGCTTGCGCTTTGCACATACGCAGAAATGCCGAATCGCGACCCGTGCGTGCACAGATGCGGCGCTGCGGGTTGCAAATGTTGCGGGTTGCAAAAGTGCCTCCTGCACAGATCACGTTCGCAACCCGAGGTTCCACTGTATTCACTTCCTCATTCTATACGACCAGAGATAGGGTTCATTATATACACTTTTGTGCATTATTTTCCTCGCTCAGTTTTCCCTCTTCTTAACTTGTTCAGACTAATTGAATGGGAGAAACTATGCATTTTATCTAGTGCAGCACAAAGAGAGAGCTGCTCACACAATGGAACTTTTTCTCCCCCACTATGGGCCCCAGAACTGGGTCCCAGAGGGTCCCTCTAAGTCACCCCAGTGCCAATTTTTGAGGGTGGTGAGAGGGCTGAAGAGGAAGACAATTCATTGTACATGTGGATGTGGGTTGCATGAGCCGAACTGCACTGTTGGATACAGCTCTCTTTAACAGCCATGATTCCAATCATGCTTGTGCACTATCAATCTCCTAAATGGGATGCTGTTTCACAGAAGACAATTTTAAACACAGGTGCCATCTCTATGATAAACTCTGCTATTACATTATAATGTGACAATAACTCATTCTTAAAGATTGCTGTTGGTTAGGGCGTTCTAAGGTCAACAATTTTGGGGCCTTCCTAAATGAGAAAACCAGGGTAAACATGAATACAATGGGCTGGTTTCACAGAGAGATGAGCGGTTGTACTGTAGAGTTTGCTGGTCCTGGCTCCTCTTGCTCAACCCTCCATGCCTAAAAAGCCGCTCTTGAGTGTTGATACACAAGGCCTCTCACGAAACACATCTCTGAATACAAATGACTGGATTTACATTTGCAGCATCGTCCCTCAAAATAAATTCAGTTGCTTACATTTACATTTTTGCTGGAAAGAAGAAGATTCTGGATGCCACAGATTCTGATGCCTTTAGCATTTTCCCCACTGATATTAATAACTGTGAATATCTATTTTGCAACAACATAATGTAGTCCTTTGTTTTTCTTTCAACAGGCAAAGACTGCACTTGAAAATCTTCGGGATAGACACCAAAAAAGGCCAGGAAATATATTAAGAGCTCTTTTAGAACGATTTGATAAGCATGACAAAGCCAACTAGTCCATATAAAACAAACCATATGTTTGTAATAGGAAAAATTAATAATTATGTAATTAAAGCTAAGTTAACATGCATAGAATTGTGCTGGATTGTATATGAATTATTTGGAAGGGTCCCCAGCTCAGTAGCTCAGCACCTGCTGTGTGTGCAGAAGGTCCTAGGTTTGGAAGAGGTACAAGTGCTTTTCTGCCCTATCCTGCAATACTCCCAGAATCCCCTTTTTGTGGGAACTCGCATTAGTAGAGGCAGAATCAAAGAGTATAATGGGAAGGCGAGTGTTTAACTGAAACATGAAATAATATTACATGTGAAAGAGTAATGTCTATAAATCACCTGTATTAAAACAGTGGCACTTCTTTCATGTTTATAAAAGGGTGCTCCATGATCTGAGCCCTATAAAGCAAGTCTTCATAAACAAATAGCAAGAAAAGTATAAAAATATAGCCAGGCTTGGTGAAAAAAGTGACTGATCTAACAAAAACAGCCAACTCAGCTTTGAATCTGAGTCTCAGCAATCCACGTGCATTTAAACAGCTAAAGAAAACTGTCCCAGACTTACATCTTAAACCTGAGGATTACTGAAATTGGGATCAGAATCTGAGACGGAGTGGGGTGCTAGAGAAAGAGCAGGGGGCAGACATGGCTGAACAGTTTGTATGTGGGGTAGGTAGGGTTGTGCAATATATCAATAAATTTTTAGAAACCAGTTTGAAGAGCATATCCCGATGACCATTTTGAGCTTGTGACACATCACCAGAAGGAGCCTGAGAAGGTGCTCGCCTGCTTGCTTGCCTGCCTGCAGCTTCCATCCTTCACAAATGGGCTGCCTCCTCCCTTCCTCCTGATCACTCCTCCTGCCCACACCCTCCCCTCCACAGTCCAGCCAATGCAAAGGGCTAGAGGCAATTGCTGGGAAGGACCTGCTGCCTGTGATTTTAAAGCACATGTGCTCGCTCCTCTACACAGCCCTTCTTAAGTCTCCCCTGCCTCCTGCAGCCACAGCCATAAAAAAAATCAACAGTTATTTACTTAAAAGTAGGAAATAAAATATTGTCCTGCTCCATCTCCACTTTTGTGTGTGTGTGAGAGAGACTGAGTGAGAGAGAGAGAGCGCTATGGCAGGCAGAAAGCAGGATTGCCTTCCCTCTCCCAGACATGAGTTTCTCGCTTTTGTGCCACAAAAGGGATAAATGGGGTAAACTGCGGGGGGAAGATTCAAACTGGCTGCCTTATGGGAGAGGTTGGATGGCCACCTATCACAGCTGCTTGAGTTGAAGGGAGATTCACACTATCCATGCTTAAGGCCTGGAAACAAAAAGTAGGCACACTGCCACCAACCCCATCCCCACTAATCCCCTTGTCTCATTATCCATTATCAGTCATGCGGCACAAACCTTTCACATAGAAACATGGCAAATCAAAGGCCTATACTGTCTTGCAGACTTCTACAAAAACAATAAACCCATATCAACACAGGAAATACAGGATAAATTAGGAGGCATTCAAGTATCCTGGCTAACGCACCATCAACTGCACACATCCCTAAACAACAACAAAGCCTTCTTTTGTCAGCAGAGGGACATGGTAGGGGGGTAGTATCTGCAATATACAAAATACTACTTCACAACCCTGCAATTTCACTTGATACAATTAAAAAACAATGGGAACATGACATAGGTTAGGAAATATACTCTACCCAATGGACTACAATTTGGTCCAAACCTCCCTTTAAATCCATCTCAGCCAAAAGAAGAGAACTCACTTCGAAACTTATCTATAGATGGCATCTGACCCTGAGGAAATTGGTGTTTATACATCTAGGAACCATATCAAAATGCTGAAGAGGCTGTACCTCTACAGACACATACCTTCACATGTGGTGGGAATGTTCCCAAATCCAACCCTTTTGGACAGCAGTCCTACAAAAAATATTTAACATAACTAAGGAGGTATTGGAACCCACTCCAGAATTGGCCCTATTTTCCAAAACAATAATGTTCACTTACACCACAAAGAGCTTATAACCCACCTACTCTCAGCAGCCAGAAACGTCATAGTTAGACACTGGAGAGACTTGTCTGCAGTAAGCATGGACCACTGGTACCAAATTGAAAAGACCTTATTAGAAAAATTAACCGACAAACTAAAACTGACATGAAGACCAAAAAAAGAGGACACCTTCACTCTGGTATGGCTCCCTTTTGTTACACACACAGCTCAAGCTGGCAACAGTGATAGCAGGGATATACCAACAGCATTCAGATCAATATGGCTAACTTGACCCAATATTTCACACACACCCTTCCGCAACTTCAAACAAATCTCACTACAGTTCATCAGAAGCAATAAAATGCAAATAAACACGGCCTGCCCCCAATCTTCTCTCATCGTCAATGTAAACCAATAAATATACAGAAAGAGAACCTGCTCAACTGACACTGGCATAAAACTCCATAGCTACCATCTACGGACCAGCAGCTTTTACAGCCTCAGAGGTTCCAGAATTATTAAAACAGCTGATCAACTCACATGTAACAAAAAACAAACAAACCACTATAACCTTATACAAGTGTTTATTATAAGCATACCAGTTTGATAGGCAAATATTAAAGAGAGGAGCGGAATAATGAATTAGGGATGTCAATCTTGGCCAAGCAATGAGAACCTGTGCTAAGTTCTACAACATGGGGGTCTCTGGACCTTAGACTAAGATCATACAACAAAAAATATTATTTAGAATTTACTGTACTCGACTACGTTTGTTTAGGAAAGGGCTGTCTATGACATCTAGCTGCTGCAGATTTAATAGGGACAATGCTTCAAATTTCTTGATGAGCTGTCTGTAGTAAAATCAGCACAGCATAATTTAATTCCAACTATCAAACGGATGGTATTGGAGATCTCAGATAATGCCTGGAGCACAAGTCCATTCACCCCCTTGGGTGTGGCGGCATTGCAGGACGGTAGAGGATCCACTGGGGCCCCAACGAGGGAACCATGCATTTGGTGCCCTTCCTGATAGGTGGTGGGGGCTTATCAGAAGCCGGATCCTGGCATGCACCCTGCTTTGGTGAATGTGGATGCAGGCTGGGACTTGGGCTGTGCCAGGGGGCAGTGCCGATGGAGCAGGAAGGCTTCCTTCAGGTCCACCCTTTGGCCATTTAAGCAGCCCACACCTGCAAGAATTTTAGTCATGGCAAGAATTGAGTCCCAAGGGCCCCTGGATGCTTTGCTCATTCATTTGGGGGGAAACAATTTGGGCCAACACAAGGGTATTGATCTAACATGGGTTATAGGACTTGCAGACATTGCACAACTTGTACCCCTCCATAAGCCTAGGTTAGTCCGAGATGCTGGAGAGACAATAGCAGAACCCAGACTCAGTGGGGATCAACCGGGCTTGGCAAAAGGTTAATCGCGCAGTGAGGCGCTGCATACTACAGTGGGGTCGTTGAGTGATTTACCACCCCAAGATCACATTCTCAGATGAGACCCTGTTTAGGCCAGATGGCGTGCATCTTTCCTTATCAGGAAACAACATTTGGCTGCTGGATATGATTGAACGTATTAGGGCATGGATGTAGATGTAAGTGTTTTTTGGCAAGCTGTCTGCTCGGTTGGGCATTGGGACGATCCGTTGTCTTCGCCTGCCCCTCCAAAGACTGGTGTATCCCATTAATGGGATATGGGGGGAGTGGTTATATCTGCGTGCCCAGGCGGGGCCAGGACTGAAGGCACTCCCCCAGACGGCGGTCCCTGTGGGGGTCACCCTATTTGATGTAACTCTTAGGAACCCCCATCTGGATTGACCTATGCGTCACTTCTGGCGGGTGGACTGGAAATATTTTGATTGCCCCATGCCCAAGCCAAACCTCTTTCATCTGTACAGTGGTACCTCAGGTTAAGTAGTTAATTCATTCTGGAGGTCCGTTCTTAACCTGAAACTGTTCTTAACCTGAAGCAGCACTTTAGCTAATGGGGCCTCCTGCTGCCGCCATGCCGCCGCCACACGATTTCTGTTCTCATCCTGAAGCAAAGTTCTTAACCTGAGGTACTATTTGTGGGTTAGCGGAGTCTGTAACCTGAAGCGTATGTAACCTGAAGCGTATGTAACCTGAAGCGTATGTAACCTGACGTACCACTGTATTCAATAAAGTTGTGACCTGTTTTGATCCAAACCAATTTTATTTATCTGGGTTGGGGACTGGGGAGCACAACCCCTGGGCCAGCAAGTGGTTGGTCAAGTTTATTTGAGCAGGATAAGTAGGAAAAGGAGAAACCTGCTCTTCAAAAGAATGTGTTATAGTTCTAAGCTTCCAGTTTATTGGAGTAGGATAGATTACTGAGGATGATTACTTGAGATTCAGTATTCAAACACAGAATGTGTTAATGAAATCCTCATATGCAGGCTGCTGTGGAATTAAAGAGACAAGTACCAATGGAAGAGTTTTTACTTAGGAACTAGGATTCAGTATTGTAAATCCGGCACTGCTTGTACCTTACTTGAAGGGGGAGAAGCTACCAGGAAAGGGAGGTGACAGACTTGTCACAAATCCTACCTTAAAAAAAATATTATTGGAATTTTATTTACAACATAACATAAAGGAATTTTATTTACAACATAACATAAACCCCCCACCCTCCAATACACAATCCACCCTCACTAAATGTGAACATAACATACAGTAAGCATAACATACAACAATATAAACAACGAAATAAAAGACTTCCTTTATCCTGTATCTGGCCTCCTTATTTACGGTACTTCTTATAAACTGTTTCCTTTATGAATAATTATTAAGATTTTTCTAATTATAACTTAAATATCCACAAAGTCTCCTGCAGACATTAATCGAAACAAGTCCAGGTATGTATTTTAGGGCACTGTTTGTGAAGTATTCTCTGCATTTTCCCCATGCTTTTTGAAACTCTTTTCTAGTGTGATCTTTAATTTCCTCTGTTAATCTAGCCAGTTCAGTATACAGTTTGTCTTGCCATTC